ACGGACACGTTGAACCTTAGCTCATACAACTATCTGGGATTTGCCCAGTCCGAAGGTCCCTGTTCTGATCTCGCCGAAGAAACGATTCGTCAAAATGGAATCACTATGGCCGGCTCAGTTGCTGAGCCCGGCACCCCACAGCTTCATGCAGAGGTTGAGCAACAGGTTGCGCGGTTCGTGGGCAAGGAAGATGCGATTGTTTTTTCTATGGGCTTTGTAACCAATGCCACGATTTTCCCTGCCCTCATGGGGAAAGGATGCTTGATCCTCTCGGATGAACTCAATCATGCGTCTATTCGTTTCGGGGCACGTCTCTCAGGAGCTGCCATCCAGGTCTTTTCGCATAACAACATGGCGGATCTGGAGAGACGACTTCGAGAGGCAATCTCCCAAGGCCAACCGCGCACCCATCGGCCCTGGAAGAAGATTCTGGTCTCGGTCGAAGGCCTATATTCTATGGAAGGTACGATGTGCAACCTGCCTCGCATCTTGGAGCTTAAAAAGCGATATAAATTCTACCTCTTCGTTGACGAAGCGCACTCTATCGGCGCGGTCGGGCCTCGTGGGCGCGGAGTCTGCGATTTCTTCAAGATCGATCCTGCCGAGGTCGATATCCTCATGGGTACATTTACCAAGTCTTTTGGTGCCAATGGTGGGTATATTGCGGCGGACAAGGCTCTCATCAAGAAACTCCGTGCCACAAATGCTGGACAAATCTTCGGCGAGGCCCCTGCCCCCGGTGTCCTGGCACAGATTTCCTCCTCCTTGCGACTGATCGCCGATGAGGATCCCCTACACCCGGGCCAGGGCCTGGAACGCGTACAACGTCTTGGGTTCAATTCGCGATATTTGCGACTGGGCCTAAAACGGCTGGGTTTTATAGTCTACGGACATGATGATTCGCCCATTGTGCCGCTAATGTTGTACAACCCAGCCAAGATGCCGGCATTCTCCCATGAGATGCTACGACGGAAAATCTCTGTCGTGGTGGTGACCTATCCAGCCACCCCACTGGAGCTGTCTCGGGCCCGACTCTGTGTGTCTGCTGCTCACACAAAGGATGATCTTGACCGCATACTCCGAGTCTGTGACGAGATCGGTAATATTTTGGGTTTAAAATATTCCACAGGTGTGGCTGGAGGATTGAGAGAACCGCTTCCTCCGGGACTGAGTGCTAGAGATGCCCGGAAACTAATCAGTCCCCCACGCTGGAACGTAGAAGAGGTCATTGAGCGAGGTGCTCGGGATGTACATAATCCTCTGTATTGACCATGGTGTTTGGAGGGAGGAAATAAGTAGACACCAGCATACAAGTATAATGTGTAATTTTTTAATTTATGATATGTAGATACTAATAACGAGGACATGACAAACAATATTACTTATTTTCTGACGCCAGAAGACTGCAACGTGCTCATTTCCGCTCAGCCAACGGCACAACGTCATAATCGTCGCTAAGGAAGGCTGCCAGTGCCTCCAAGGCAGCTTCCAAAGCCTGAGTGCTTTGCCCAAAGCCCAGTCGGACATAACCTTTAAACATCTCTCCGAAGCACTTTTGCCCCGGCACGAGTAGCACCCCCTTCTTTTCGAGAAGAAGGATGCAGAATTCAACATCATCGACAGGGACGCCGTTTCGGCTAAACTTGACAAACCCAACTGGTCCAGCGACTGGACGAACCCACTCGCAGACCGAAGAATGTCGGTCGATAAATGCTTGCACAATCTCTAGGTTGTGCTTGGCAAGGCCAAGGTTGCGTTTCATCAACTCCCGCAGACGAACAGGCTCAAGAGCCATAGCAGCAATTCGCTCGTCGATCTGGCTAACCGTGATAACCGTATAGGAGCGGGCATTTAGACAGAGATCGAGAATGGAAGAGCTGTGAGAAGCTAGCCAGCCCACGCGGATCCCGGCGAGGGAAAAGGTCTTGGAGAGCGAGCACGTCACCACTGACTTCTCGTAGCCAAATGAGAGCAGGGAAGGGGGATATTCGGGGTCCGTCGGCGAGGTTGAATGGAACAGGGCGCGATAGATCTCATCGCTGAAGAGGGTGATGGAGTGCCGCTGGGCCAGGTCGACAATCTTACCAAGAGTTGACTTCGTAATGATGGCGCCTGTGGGATTCTGGGGGTTGCTGGAGGAGAAGAGTGTCAAATGATAGACTCGACCTGAAAACGAGAGGAGATCGCTTACTTCAAGACGATCATCTTGGTATTGGGCTGGATGAGACGCTCCAGTTCCTCCAAATCCAGCTGCCAATGGTTATTCTCTTTTGCTTGCCAGAGACTCACCTCAGCACCCAGACCGGATGGAAGAGAGTATAACTGAGGGTAAGTTGGATGTTGGACAATGACATGATCTCCAGGTCCGATCAGGGCAAAGAACACAATAAAATTGGCCAGCGATGCACCAGGTGTGGTGATGATGTTGCTGGGAGATATGACGGCATCTGATTCACTGCCGTACAATGCAGCTATATTCATGCGCAGCTTCTCAAGGCCTCTAAAAGACGGACCATAATTCATTGGCAGTGACAGAGTCGTGGCCAAGGGGTTATCAACATCTTCAGCCGGGTCGGTACCTAGCGAGCCGAGCTCCTGAATAGTGACAGGAAGGGAATATGAATGGGCCAGATTGTGTCTGGCTCCAGGACTGCGAGTCAGAATCCACTATTGCTCTCCAAGTCAGTCGGGTTGTATCAATGCTAGACTTCGCGTTTTCTTACATGATCAATCTCAAATGTATCGAGTTTCACCATTGTGAGTATTGTGATGTGGATTATTAGTGTTGCACTGAAGAATGTCGAAACCAGAGGTGTAAAGACGAGGATATATCCTGTATTTCGTGTATGTTTTTGCATTGATATTATGACTCATCCTTGTGTCTCTCACAGGGCGTGCGTGGATTCCCTCCTGGATGTGGTTGTGCTGGCAATACGAGGACCACGTATATGCAGTTTGCCTAGGCCGACATTAGCCGTACATGTAATATAGCCCAAGTGTGGACAGAATATTTGCTTCATGGCCACGACCGATGCTCTACATGGAGATGTACCAGGATCCTCGGATATTAGAATACTTGCAAATAACTCTCCCAGCCCGAGATAGGTCCCGGCCGCTCCAGTGGGCGGGGTTCAGAATCGAGGTCTTCTTATTCAGGTAGCACTCCGACTAATGGATACCTATGTGACCAAAGATGAATTAATGTCTCATACACTATGCTTCAAATGAAGTCGTGCCCATTCCTCCGCAGTCAAAGCATGGATCCCAACCTGACAGTTCCACGTCTTGGACAAATCCCACGCTACACCACGCCCTTCACCAAAAACGACCTGATATTTGAACAACGTGTTGTCAGGATCCCTTGCAAGATCAGCCCGAGCAGCCTCCACAGTTCTTATATGCCTGGTAAATTTGCGTCCGGTGATCCTCTCCACTAACTGCGCCAGCTGTTCATAAGTCAAGGTATCTCCAGCAACATAGATCGGCTTGTTACCAAAGACCGAGTCAGCTCTCGAGCCAAGCACAGCCTCAGCAGTAATCGTGCCAATATCCTCCGGCGCTGTTACAGATACCTTGGTATCAAGGCTTCCAAGGGCCTCTATGGTATCATCCTTGAAGTTGACGACACCAAACCAAGGCTCAAACAAGAAACTAGTGAACATGCCGGTCGATATGATCACCCATTTAGTCCGGTTCTGGGAGCGTAGCAGATCTCTCACATCCAGCTGCTCATCGAATAGATCTTGCGCGGATCCCCGTCCGATAGTATCGTAATCGACTCCAAATTGCCAGGGCACGTATCGCGGAACTTGAGCCGCCAGAACAGCACGCGTAATTTTGAGCTGAGTGCCAGAGCCAGCTGCAAACCCGGTACAGCCGATGATTGTGTCGTATGCACCAAAGATGTCTGAGAGGTGCTTTTCGGAATCTTTGGCAATGTCACCAGGAACCAGATGCACATTCAGATTGCGCAGTGCCCCGAGCTCCTTGACTTTGTCGGGGTTGGGGGATGCGATGCTCGAGGGCCGTAGTAAAACAGCAATAGTTGCGCCATCTCGATGAGGATGCTGAGCAAGGGAGTGTAAGACTTGGTTGCCCAGCTCGCCTGCGCCAATAACGAGGATCTTCGAACGCCCAGACATGCTGTACAAAAATAAGGTTATATTTCTTAATTTGCTAAACCAAGCCCTCGCATAGGGAGAAGCTGTTGTGATATTTATAACTATAAGGTATATGCCCCATGTCAGCTTCGGACTTAAGAGGTTACATCCATGATCACACTCCATGTGGGCTTGGGGGGAGACCTCTCCCCACGGGTGAAAAATTCATAGGCCAGTACATGAGCTAATTGCATTGGCACTATCAGACCACCTGAGTCTGGTGCAAGTTATGCAACAAATCTTCTTCTTCTTAGTTAACATTTCTTGAAGCTTTGATTGGTAAGCAAGACCCTCATTCGGAGACTTTTGATAAACTTTTGAGAAAAGTTACTCCATCTCCCAATGAAATTCCCCGGAATATCAAAATAGTTTAGAGGTACAAGTTTGATGCACATTTTACCTACTTACAGTCTCCCTTTCGGCAATGACCTCACCCACCTATTCCAGAGACAATCGACCTTGCTTTAATCGAACCGCCATACCTAGGGGTAGGAGAACTGATTTCATTGCTAGGAACCCGCTAATCTAGCAGGTAACCTTTGTCGCCGTGGAGCTCGACGCTGTCAAAACCAGCCAGCGGAAACTGGTCTGAAGTCCACTTTGAGCTCAAAGTAGCTGACTTCGGCTCGGTTTGAATATGTATGCAGCTCATGCGACGGCGGTCAAGTAGTCATTATCTAGGTCCTCGGAGCAAGTCTTTCTCGGACATTGATCCACGAGGTTGGCTGTCAGTTGCGCTCACCATCCTCCCGCTATGATGAGATTACACCCCGTTCCGAATGCTCGACTGGTAGCGCAATATACACACTCCCCAGCAACCTGGATATACGTCCCTGTAACATGACCGTCTGCCCAGAACAGGATCATGGGCAGGTCTCCGGCCGTCCAGTGGTAGACCGTCTCATCATACCCAATGTGCAGCTTCTCGTCCACTCGATACTTGTACATATTCGCCAGTGGATAACCATTCAGACTGGACCCTTGGATAATCTTCTTAGGATCGGCTTGATTGCACCCGCATGGCACACCAAACACCCCCTGCCCACCATAGGGAATCGGCCGAAAGTCACCAAACTGCGATACCTTGCCCACCAGCTGGCCTCCTGGTGTCCTTTTGATACTGACGCCAATCGTCTCCAGCTCGGCTGCATAATAACAGTTGTTCCCGTGCACATCCTGTTTCAAAACATCCCGCCCCAAATTGCCCATCTTTCTTAGCAGCGGCGAAGGGACGAAGGCCTTGCCCACGTCCTTTGCGAGTCCGATGGTGAGGTCCTTGGCCGCCGAGCGGGTATGTGGATGATTACGCGGCCGGCGAAGAAGCGCTTCGGCCCAGCCGGATATCATGTAAATGGGCTCGCCCTGCCTTGGACCTGCTCCGCGGTCGATCTTGAATTTTACATTTGGCATGTCCTCAGCTCGGGTGAGTCGGGGTTTACCATATTCCACCACGCCGACTTGCACCAGTGAATGGTAGAAATTTGCCGCATGCTCGGCAAAGTTCTCAAACGGATTCTCCAGACTCCCCAACACCTGTCCGTTAAAGCTGTCGGCCAACGCGTACCCCGTAAAGACAGTATAATGCACTCCGAGCATGGCAGCAACATACCGTCTCGCCACTCGTTCATAGTAACAAGCATGGGCCATCAGCTCAATCAGGTCGGCGAGACTCACTTCCCCCAGACCACAGAACTGTGCCAGGCCGAGGATCCGGGCGAGAAGGAGATCATGATGCGCCGGCGAGCGCAACGACTTGCGCACCATGCTCCGCGCATACCGGCCCAGAACGTGCTTCGCCAGAGTCGGCATAAACTGAAAGGGGTTGATGCGTTTCAGCATCCATTCGCGATGCTCCGCCGGCCACGTTGCACCTAGACGCTCGCGGATGGCGGCGCCTTTGGACGGGGAGTTGACATTTACGATAACCGGCTCCTGCAGCCCGAAAGATTTGAGGCGTTCGGCTGAAAGTCCGAATCGGTCGCGCGCACGACTGATGTCTGAGTAAGCGGTGAAGAACAGCCTCTCCACTCCGGCTGGAGTCATGATCCATCCGACCCGGGCTGTTTTGGCCTCTTCCTGTGAGGCAGGCACTAGCGGTGCGAGATACCCCAGCTTGGTCAGGCGGACGAAAAGCGTCTGGATCTCCTCAAGAAATTGCTGACAGGCTCGGCGGTCGAGGTAGAACTGGGTGATTTTTACTCCTCCCCCAACGAGCAGTTTGACCGCGGCGGAGAGGGGGTCTCTGTTACTGTGTCAATGGGGTTGCACCTCAAACAGAATGATCTGCTGACCCAGAAAGGAGGGCTTCACCCACCACCTCAACTGCCAACTCAGCGACATCCGCCATTTGCACTGATCAGGCTGGCCGATGTCTAGACCAAATGTAAGCTGTGCGTGTTGGTGATCGTAGCGGGTCTGCCCTGGTGGCAGGGTAGAAACAAGAGTAAAAGGATACAGGTGCAATGATCACTTTTAAATAACTGGCCCTCGATTCCACCGTCCCCAGTCTTGTGTTCACGCGCTTGGCCTGAAGAGAGTATAGTGCAAGGCTTAGGCCGCTCGAATACGAGGTTTCTTCCTCTTAGCGAGCAGCAAGCTTCAGACGGACAGACGCACACTTCAATGGGGGAAAGCAGTTTTGATTCGCGGCTCAGCATTTGATTTTAACAATTTAAGTGTGTTTCTCTGTGCTTCCTGGTAAATTTACCTATTAGATCGGTTAATTGCAGACCTACAGTACTATTTTCACCATGTATACTGGGTGGGCTTGATATTGATTCATGGAGAGGACAAAATGAATGACATGTACAGAGTAGAACGATTTATTACCTTAAGAGAGGGTTTCAGGGGTAGTAAACTTATTAACCATAATCTATGTAAAAGTCTTACTCTCTGGGATTGTTGCAGATCTCCTTCATATATGGCAGCGTAACTTTATAAGCCACAGTATGCCGTGACGCATACACATTCAGTTGGATACTCTAACCACAACCAAATTAATTCAAAAGATAAGAATAATGAACAGTAGGAGAGAACTGAGTGTAGCTTAGTGTATTTCCAGTTGGCAAAGCAGTAACTCACGACAACTGGTGAATCTATCCTCAAGTGAGACGTTGAACACAAACTAGGTAGATACAGTGATAGTAGTACATATCATGTCCAGTCTTCCCTCTACTGCACTCGTAACTACCACCCAGCTACCCATTCTAGGGTAGTTTAGTCATTCCTAAAATCCCGAAGCATTTGATCGGTGCTCGGCCGTTTCAGGATTTAAAATTGGGCGGTTTAATGCCCAGTCTCTTTGTTCGCGGGGTTCTTGTCGACCACTGACGTTGTATGGCCTGGCGTTGTTCCATGAGAAGCTGCTCTATACGATATCTCTAAAGACGTACTGGTGATAAGTAGCCTCTACATAAAGACGGCAGCGTATGCAGGGGAATGTATGGGTGATGCGGTGAGCGCCTCTTCTATACAGAGTACTTTGATTAGATATATTTAGGTGACAGTACTGAAAATGATGGTCGCTATGCAAAGTGTTGAAGGGCCGATATTGTTTCTTTACCCAACCGAACTAATTATGATTATTGTGGGCGGACTTGGCATCTAAGTTTTTGCCAGCATGCTCATATCTTTGTGTATTCGAGTCCCAGCCTCGGTGTTGTTTATCACCGAAATCTGACATACATTCACATTCCTGTTCACACAGTCTGAACAGCGCCATGTCAACGTCGATCAGGAACCTTACGGCGGTTGAGAGGCGCAAATGACGGGCGGATTGGAGGGGGCAGGGCGCCTGACGCAGTCTCGGTGGAGTCTCCGTCGGTCCTCGTCCTTGTTGGGGAGGAGGCAGGGGTTTAATACACTACATTAGTCGAAAACGCGCATGTGGCATCATATTATAACTGCAACCTCAGAGCTCTACCTAAGTTGCTAATGCAGATCGTAAGCAAGAATGGGAGGCCTAATCTAGCACAAGAATTTAGATCCCAGAAAGGGGCGATGTTAGTAGCAGATCCCCACAAAAACAGAAGCAGCGTCATTGGAGGGTGTACCTAGACGATTGCTAATGGTACAAGAGTAATGTACTTTTAGGAGTAGGGATCGCCGCGCGATGAGGACCATGCAGCGCCTCATTTTAAAGCATTGCGGCTGTGGTGGCTGCTGGGTGGTAGCTTAACCTCAAGAGTACATTTGAAAATTTGACACCTTGACGGGCAAATGTTGATGTTCAATGCGAGGGACTTTGGAAGGGGAATGATATAGAAAATTGCTTTGGGTTGTCCGCCCAGCAGTCATACCGACAACAATAGGAGGTCCCCTCCATCTTCGCAGCCAATTTTGATGTTTACATCTATTATGTCTCTGAAGGTTACACTACATAAGCCATTTGAGCTGAGAATTAAAGGTGGACCCTCTAGAGAGCGGCATAATGCAACAACAAATGCCTCACATCTCCGGGCGTAACAAGCTGTTTGTAAGAACGTCAGGCGTCCAACTAGGCGTGCCATGATGTACAGATCAGTCCTTGATTACTTCATCAAATGGGAATATACGACGTGATCAATATCGAAGTAGGAGAACATTGGGGTATAAGAAGGAGGACAAATCCGCCTCTATGCTGTCCCTTTATCTCATCTCAATTCATCAGTATCTCACTTTGATTCCAATCCCGATCCCGATCAATTTATCTGCAACATCTCTGTCTCTTGAAACTCATATATTACCGTCATCATGGTCAAGTTCGCCATTCTCCCACTCGCTGTTCTTGCTGCCTTGGCTCCCTTTGCTGCCGCAGACAACTGCAAGACTGGGCTGAACTACTGTGGCTATAACCTGCTGAACATTGGTATGTGAACCTGCCACTCCCATCCCGACTTAATTTACTTAATGAGGTATAGGCAACTACGGATCGCAGGTCAATGGCGCCCTTGAGGCTGCCGGCCAGCCAACCGACGACGCGCACATCCGGGAATCCCTCTTCCACTGCAATGGTGGTATGAATGGTGATATCTCCTACATCACCTACTGCGGCGGTGGTTGCACTGATGGTGGCTCTGGCCGCAGCGACTACTGCTGAAGAGCTGGCTGCACATTGTTATCTTGATTCATAAATGAGGGTGTGATATGGACGTGGATGTTGTACTTTGATCTATCCGATTTAGTCATATTCAACATATGGTAGAGTGGAAAGACTTTAGTATTAAGAAATGGGAAAAACCGTTTTCCGAAAATCGATTTTGGTTGCTTCATGTCATATAGATAGAGCATACGTTCATAGGAGCATTGTATTTGGATCAGCTCCGAATTTGCCCTTCTCGGTATGTGGGAAGTGTAAGCTTCCAAATGACGGATCTAGTGGCAAAAGGAATGTTCCAAAGCCTCGATAAGATTGCGGAATTATCTTAGGTTCGCCAATACATAGATAGACAAAGTCTCGCGGTTTATACGAAGGGACCAATCAAGCTAAGCAAGATTGTTGTGTATTCTTATCGGCACCCTAGCTTCACAAATGAGATGGCCCACTCCAGCGCTCAAGTCCTCCGAGCCTATCCTATACACAGTATATCCCTGTTAAGCCATGACATGAATATGGTCTTGCTTGACATAGACAATAATATCTGCGTCAATAGTTATAGCAGAGTATACTAATGGAATAAAGTCCTCCTTCTTTATAGGAGCCGTTTTCAGGGTAATGATTATTCTACCCAATTCTCCTCCTTAATGACATTCTGATTCAGATGCAATATCCGACAAGAGCGACAGACATAGACACCCTGAAGTGCAGAATAAGAAACAGTAGATGGCCTCATAAGGGCCCAATCCAACAAAGCAACATCAACCCTAGAGAGTAGCCAGTGTGCTGTTAACGGCCAGGTTCGCGGTTGCAATCTCCGGGTATTGTGCCTTGGGATCGAAATTCAGACGCCTTGCATATTCACGCTCAAAGATAAGGCAGTGGGTTGATCCACCACTATGGAATGCCCCAATGACATCTCCCTTAGTAATAGTGCACCCTTCAGCAGTGCTATCCTCCCACTGGCAGGTGGATACCTCGGACATCCCAACTGGTACGAAGCCCACTAATCCAATCTGTGAGCCATTTTCGACATTTGTGTCAACAATGAGAACACCCCGTGCTGCTATGTGGGTGATATAACGCTGCGACATATCTGGGCCAGCTGGATCAGGTCCACCTGAACCTCCGAATCCTGAAGCAGCTGTTTCGGCAAAGTATGTTCCATCAATGAGGGAACGGTATACAACCCTGCCGTTGACAGGCGCATTCCAGCAATGGTAGGAGTCTGCACTCAGGAAGGCCTGATACACAGTCCCGCCGACAAATTTGTCAACATACTGGCTGACTCTATCATCCTGCGTGGCTCCTAGCATATCATGCAGCGAATATGGCATGCCCTTGAGCCAGAAGGTAGTGCGGCCCGAGACGTCGGTGTCAAACGAAAGAGGGAACGATTCGCAAGCATTGACAAGCGCCCGGTCTCCTACAGGACGAACACCGGCCTTGAACTTACGCGTAAAGAATGCGTCCCAATGAGGGTAGTTGAAGAAGTTCTCCTGCTTGCCGCCCGCGGGGTGTTCGAATAGTTCTGTAAACTTCCTTTTACTACCAGGGGTAGCATCATTTGCCTTCTTCTCCAACTGTTGGACTGCTATGTTTGAGCTCCAACCAGCGTCGATCAGTGCTTGATTACCACCACCCTCCTGCCCAGTCCTTCCCCTGGGATTGCTGAGGAACTCATTCCATTTATTCAAGATGGCTTTCAGAGACTCATTTACTCTGGGATCGAGGAAGAATTGACGACCGCTCTCGGTCCCCATCGGCCAGTCAACGATGACATTGAACGGGAACCCAATAAGACCGCTGGGTACGTCGGGGTCGTTTACCAAAAAGTACTCTGGCACTTCGGTCAAGAGGGTATTGAAAAGATATAACATGGTTTTGTAGTTTCGGACTTGTTTCTTCAGTGTGGTTGGGTCCCTATCGTATGGGGCCTTATCAGGGACCTCGTCAAACATGGAATGGGCAAGCATATAGAGAGTTGAATTGTTTTCAATTAGGTTCCTCAATGCGTCGACGGGGTTCTCCTTGCCATCTCTCAGTTTTTGGGGAATTTCTGGCTTAGCCTTGTCCAGAAGGTGCGATAGCCAGGCTCGGCGAAGTCTGACATCCTCAGGCATCCAGTGGCCGTAGCCATGAGTGGCACTCCCGGTTGCAAGTCCACCCAGGCTGGGCTTCGCGTACATGGATAGGTAGAATTTCTGCATCTTTTGAGGTATGCTATCGTACTTGTTTTGAATGAATGGTGCAAGGGAGAAACTGTTGGTGTCTGAGATATAGAAGAGACCGAATTATTTCGCCTTGACTTGGCTCTTCTTATACTTCGATCTCCCAATATAGAGTACGTATTACATCAACTCTAACCTATGGTTACACGTACTTTTGCAACTTGTGAACACTGTCATTGATGACGTTTGCATGCAGGACACGTAACGTCATATGCACGAAGTCGCATCTTTCCTACATTTCAGCTGAAACCAAAGTAGCCCTCGTAGATGGCACAGTCAGCCGTGTAATGGTATGGAGCAGGGACTCGATTTGCGAGAGATTGCTCAGGCTCTTCAGTTTCAAACCATGGTTATCTGGGTATAAAGTACATCCTAACTGACTTAAACTCTATCCCTAGTCGAGAACTTTTACTTTCATTTTAGGCTTGTATAGTTTTCCATGGAACACAAACATTGAACGCTCCAAACTTAATGTGTTTAAAATAGGTCTATGAAATCTTTCTATAACTTAGCGTAGGGTTTCCCCACGACGATTACCTTTCCCCAGAAAAGCTAATTGGTAGCAAGCAAGCCAGTCTCTACGGAGTCCATCATGCAAGCATCCCAACATATGCTATTTCACATCGGCCAGTTCAGCTGATCATGAGGGTGATGGGAGCTGTTGTTTTCACAGTAGTGTGGGAAAAGAGGGGTGGATGACCAATATTAAAATATCTTTTCAACATGCTGAACACCGCGAAGCGGCCTGGAGAGCCGGAAGAAGCAAAGGGTGGGAGGAAGCACGGTACTTATGACGCTGCAACACTACAGCTACTCATTTTCAGCAGAAAATGGTGGCGTCAGATTCACTCGCTGATTTCAGCAAGTCAGCCAGAGAGGCGTTATACACTGTTGCAGTATTCGCCAGTAGTTAGCTCATTACCTCTACCAAATTTCACTGGAATGTCGTCGGGAGCGTTGATGGTGAACTATTTACATGAAATAGCATAGCATGTACTGATCAAAGTTAATCAGCCCTGGATCACTGCATCGCGCTGCAGCTGAGCTGAAAGATCGCTGAAGAATCTGTGCAGCTCTTTCCGTTAAACACCTATCAGCTGTCGCCTTTTGACGAGGTGATTGTGGAGGTGGCTTGTAGGAATCTTACTGAGTCCGTTTAGATTTTGGCTGGGGACAAAATAACTCATGGATTGGGAGAAAGCAATGCAAATGAACTGGTCAATCCCTACCGCTTCTGGCCTTGCCCACTCTGCATGTAGATCTACTCTTATCATAATCACTCCTATGATCTGACTTGGCTGTTGAGAGTACCAAGCATGCTTTCTGTTAGGGCTTAGATTATTCATCCTTCCCAAACCTCGCAGATGAACATCCACTTTTGCCAGTATTTCTAAGGATGATGTTAGAAAGTGTTAGAAAGACACAACCCACTGTAGTTTAGTTGCTTAAGACGAGAGTAGCAGAGGTGATTGTTCATACTGTGTAATGCCAAAGGAATGCGGGGTTACCTACAGCAATAAGGGACGGAAGGGACACGTCGATCCACTCTTCAGCTCCGCCACTGCGGATTCTCCAGCTGCAGCAGCTCTCACTATGCATAGTAATGGCACTAGTAACTAATATCATGTTCAGTGGACATCTGCCGGCTAGTTTTCCTTAGCCTATCACTGATCTCCACAAACCAGTAGATCTTAGATGTGTGAGTACTGTTCTCAATCCTCTTTGACTGGTAGTTTTCACTTGTTGTAAAGCTGAGAGCGAGACTTTCGACATTCCACCACACGTATACTAGAATGTCAGTTCCCCTCATCCCCTCCCATGGACATATCAAACTCCTAGAGTCTTACGATCAATTTCCAAACCAAATGCCAAAGCGTACCAGTCGATCGACTGCGGACAACTGTTGTGTGACATTATACATATGTAGCATCCAGTGCATATCAGCCGGACAATCGCTCAATCACATACCGTGGCTCCTAGGAATCCTGAAACAATTAGTTGATGCAGCCGAGAAATGCAGGCAAAACAGTATTTCCTATTGAGAAACCAGCTTTGATGTTAATTACCTCATCGCTCCTCTTCTGGTGTTTTTCTACATGCTTTTCTGGTATATTAACTAATCTGGTCAATGTCACTATCTCATGTAGCATTGCCGCCTTGATACCTGAATTCAACTTTGCGTCTCATTCCGATCAAGGTGATGAGGGCTAGATTCAGTTCGGGCAATCTATATATCGGCCTAGCTATCTTTATGGATTCGATTCCTCTTCAGATATTTAGTCAATTTGAACCTTCAGGACCTTCGACTTTTATTTTCTACCCCATTCCCTGTAGCAATTGTCTCTTTGAGAAACACAATCTGCATTCTCTGTCCTTAATTCTCCCGTTATATCTTACCATGGGGATCATTCCGCGCTTGCTTGTCTTAATAGGCGGACTGCTCCCAGCCACTGTGACAGCGGTTGAGCCACCAACGCCACTTTTCCCATCCCTAGACCCATCCTATACGCCGAATGATGGTTCTTAAGAAGAAGTGGGCCCTGGAACAATTATAGACCACCGCCAAGTGCATATCAACTGCTATACGTTACCAGGGATCTGAACAACAACGCAAACCACTCAGTCACAACAACAGTCATCCCTACAAAAGCGACGAAGGACCGACTCCTATCGGTGCAGCCTGTCTACCACTCACCAGACATCAATTCCTCCCCCTCATACGGGCTCCAGGTTGGGCGTTCGGCTCCTCCCTACCCTGGAATATGATGGATTTATCCTTCGTAGAACCATTCGTACAAGACAACGGTCCAGTTCTGAATATTCCTGACTACGAGGGGTGGAACGCGGCCTTCACCGTGGGCCCGCAGACGGCCTACCACGTACTCGATTCGATCCGTGCGGCATTCAACTTCAAGGACAAAATCGGCCTCCAGCCTAACGCCAGAACGGTACTGTACGGGTTCTCCGGTAGCGCGTATGCTACTGAATGGGCTTCCGAGATGCGGCCCAGTTGTGCCCTCGTTCTGACCCAGATTGTTGGTGCTGCCATGGGGGTCCTCCTCCCAACATTACGAACACCTACATCTACTGTGATGGGGGAGATTGGGCAGAGCTGAACGTGTGGGCAGTGCTGGGCATGATGAACGCTATCCCCGAGAAAAAAGAATACATCAATAAAGATCTGCTGGATGAGCACCGCAAGGAGTTCTATGGTCCCATGAGACGCTGCAGTCGTCACTTCGGCGTGGAAGAGGTTCCCCCGTCTCTGGCGTTCAGGAACATCTCATCCACCATGCCACCAGGTGGGGGGATAAAAAGAACTGAGTATACAGAATAGTATAAATAGATATATTAAAGAGAGTAGAAGTTAAAGCGGATCATCCGTCGGATGATACACGTTGATCTCGGCGTGCGATGATCCCGATAGATTTCTTTGCCTTGTACATAGTTCTCGATGACGATACATGAGATATTAATAACTTTGAAGTTCATGCGCTTACCTACACCTACCCTTGGAGGCATGATCAACAAATGAGACTCATGTTCTCTGTGTTCATAGACAGGTAATTTCTAGGCCTTTTTTATTGTAATCCCATTGTAGACGTCGCCACTTCTGTCAGTGTGGTACACCCCGAACACTACTCTCCCCTTGAGGTCCGTCTCGGGCAACGCATATAGATTGTAGTCATCCATCCCAAACTGATTCATTTTAATCCCTCGTGACCAGTGGCAATAAGGCTTTTTCCGCTTTGCAAAGTAATCGCTGCCCAGTGCGTACTCTGTGCTCGCCTCTGCCCGTATCCCAGCGCGTTCAAGCGCTAGTCTGTAGACAATCAAAATGTGCTCTGCTCCATTGTGTCCGAGTTCATGAGAGTCCTTGTAGTTTCGATGCCACGCGCTAATTGACCGAAGCTTTGGAAAGCTCTGTGGGTTAAAATCACGAAACATGTTCTGAAAGTCCAGCGTATCCGCTCCTGGAGGGCAGCGAGGAGCGAGAATTACAACGTGCTGAATGGAAGCAGGAAGGGTCTGTGCAAACGGGAGCCATCCGTTCCCTTCAAGATTGCTAAACAGATCAATATCAAGGGTGAGCCGCTCTAGCCGGGTGAATTCATTCCATCTCCAGTTTGTCGTTGGCGGCGCGATTGGGTTGATCGACATATAGGGACGGTATGGCTTCAGGCAGGGTTCGTGGCGACAGCCACAAATGGAACCGTACTCTGTGAGTTCGATGTGGAGGTGTCGTAAGCTAAACTTGGTATGGGTAAGCAATGCTATACACACGGCCTCAATACTCATTTCGGGTAGAGGGTTTCGATATAGTCCATCCCCAAGGCGTTTCCCAAATACCTCTGGCGTGTGGAAGACCATATATTTGAATTGCTTCAGGCTAGAACATCCGTCGATAATTCTCGACAAGGCGCGACTAGAGATGTTTCCCCGATCCACAACGACTGATTCTAGCCCGGAGTTTGCGGGTCGCAGGGGATACGCCTGGTCCATTGCATCATCCCAGTCATACGTGATGGAGTTTTGCCCGCTCATATCTTCCTGCTAAACTGGCTGTGAGTAGTAGTCCCAGAGAGAGAGATTTTTAAGAGCTGGCAATCGAGCCAACGCAGTTAAGAGGCGGATGATCTGCTGAAAGTGGTCCTCCCCGAGTACTGCCTGTAAACGTTGCTCTCGTCTATCCTCACTACTTTCGGACCCATTCCATTCATCGTCGCCTTCTTCCTCGTCGTGGTCATAAGATAGGAAGTTGACTCGCACGTCAGTCAAACTCGACAGGGGCTGATCCTGGAGTCCTCTATAAGACCTTGTTGCCAGCCTACTTACGGCGCGGAGGACATAGGGAAAGATAATATCGTAGGCGTTCACCTTTAATTCCATACTCTTCAGCTCTGTCAGCTGCCCAAGGGCAAGTGCCAATGCAGCTCCCCCGGTCCCAGTGGCCACTGCATGCATCCAGTCCCACACTTCTTCATACTCCACGATGCGTGATGCTTGAACAAGCCGGCTAATGCACTGTAAACTCGAATCCCAGGTCAAGCATAGTCCCTGTGGACAATCGAAGGGCTCCGAGGACAGTTCCTCCACGTACGGGGCCAAGCGGGGACTTTGGGCGATCTCGAGCAACAATCGCGGATCACCTTTGCTAAAGGCCTCATTCGTTCTGCACCGGCGGATGTTTGATGGAGTCAAAGAGCAGAGGACTTCGGATTGCCATTTTCGGTATCTCTTGTGTTCTTGCAGGTGGTTGCGACAGAGTTCCTGAAGATATTTACAGCTCGATAAGAAGGAGGGTAGGTCCCTTGGGGAAATGAAGTCTATAACTTTCAACTGTAGTTCATATGGAAGTAGTAAGAGCATGGTGGTGGGAGGACATTGACAGGAAAAGAGTTCTTCATGACGACCAGCACGTTACCCTGAGGAAAAGCCTTGTGTCCCGCCCCCACGCTTGCTACGGCGGACTGTTTCTACACAATGGACTTTTGGATTTCGACATTGTTTGCTGCACGTATTACCTATTACAGTAGCGTACTGCAGTATGTAAGATACACATTTACATGGAGTACGCAAGTATGGCAATTATGAGAAGTGAAGGTATATATGTTCATTCTCAACCATACAGCACAAAAAAGCTTAAGTATTATTTGTGTATGTTACTGTCCAGTGTATGGGAATTTTCTCATTCCATAACTTCAAGTCATACTATGACACTCGAAATTATATACACATGACCAAATGTAACTACCAGTGGTTAATCGTGGGTCTCTAGACAGGTATTGCACAAAATCTTTTTTTGCGCCTATGCAGTTCTATGCTTTTGATACATACTCGAGCTCTTTCTGTAGAGTCCTCCATGACTTCATTCCCCTCATTGCAGCAGACTCAGGTTGACTGTGCCTATCCCTCATGCGGCGGTCAAAGATCTCCATCGACACCCAGCCTTTGTAACCAATCTCAAGGATCCAAGCTTCGGCAATGTCGGTAATAGGCAGATAGGCGCCATGGTCATGCTCCAGAGGAAATGGTCGTGCATGTTTGGACCAAGTAAATTGCGGCGCCTCCCCTTCGACAAACCATGGGTGACCCTTGGAGAATGGAGGATCGAATCTTTCGCCATCAGACAGCTGGAGAAAGAATATCTTCTCAACAGGACAATTGGAAACAAAGCGATTGAGTGATTCACGAAGAGATTTATCAGAGTCAGGGAAGCGCCCCGAAGCAGCGAAAGGGTCACCCCATAGCTTCGTAGCTTCATGAAACGTATCTAGACATAGCCCGAAGTTTGGTCGATTGACTTCGTTGACATATTGCAGAGCGACCTCCCATGTGGAGCAGTGCGTTCCCCAGGACAAATACTCATATGCAATTGATACAACCGGCTGCTCCGCACTTCCGATATCAGCCAACTGCTGTAGCTCACTGATGACCACGCCTTTGTCGCCGATAGCGTCTGGTTTGTAATTTGAAGGAATCTGCAAATATGACGCGTGAAGGACTCTAGCGACCCTAACCCAATGTCTGGCCTTCTGTAATCTGTCACTAAGAAGCGATCTGTCTCCTTCGTAATTCTCGAATGGTGCCAAAGAGAGAATGTCCAAGTTGAGTTTCTGGCATAACACGCGGATCTTCTCAGCGCCCTCGAGAATCGAGATGTTTTGAGCTTGAGAAAATCCTTCCAACTCGAAATAGACAATCTCAATGCCTTTGTATCCGGCTTCTGCCGCAGCCTGAATTTTGTGGTCTAGGTGATGAGAAGGGTGTTGGCCTAGAGATAAGCTAGCGATAGCCAATTTATTCGAGAGCATGTTGTGCAAAAATTTTGGCTGCTGAAAGATAAGAGAAGCAATCAAAGCGGGACTTCTATTGAAGCTACACGCAATATATATATAACAAGGAGCAAATGCGGGGTTTCGGATTCTGTTCTCCGCAGGGCAGATGAGACAGAGACTAGTTGGTCTTTTGACTACAGGACTCTCAAAGTGAAGTCATATAGGGCGCGAACATTAAGATTCAGATTTCATCACAGTCATCCGTAGGGTACAGGTATCCTACATGGAAAACAGGTTCTTTCACCAATCCTTACATCGGTGGTCTCACGTTATTGCGGGTGTTATTCTCCGGACATGATTTTCTGCCACCAGAGGTTGGAGCATTTCCAAAGGCCTGAAGTGACACTGCCTTCTCAAACGCACTCAGAATGCTTTCAATTTTGAAAGGCTGCTCCTGGAAAGCGATTTCCGCATCCTACTACTGAATCAAGCACGATGATGATAGATCCTATAAATCCAGCACAATGTTCGACGCGAGCTCTGTTGAATCGTTATCCCTTTTTGAAATCATCACCCCTCTCTGCAGTTTTGTTCCATATTACGTTGGCAATCAAGCGTTTTCAAAATGGTATCCGCTGTCCTTCATCCATCTTCGACAAACATTGAAGCCACTTCGGACAATATCGACGCCGTCAATGTTCTCAAGGCAAACGCACAGCAAGCGGCAAAGGACCTGTACGAAGAGTCTGAATTCGACAAAGCCAAGGACAAGACAACTTTCCGCCAGTTCAACGATGCTTGTGACCGAGTCAGGAATTTCTATGCTCAGCAGCACACCCTACAAACAGTGGCCTTCAACTTGAAGGCCCGTAATGACTTCCACAATAAGACCCGCGCGCGCATGACTGTTTGGGAAGCAATGGAGAAACTGAACACGTTCATTGATGAATGTGACCCCGACACCCAAGAATCCCAAATGACACACCTGCTCCAGTCCGCTGAAGCTATTCGCAAAGAGGGCAAACCACGCTGGATGCAAGTTGTTGGGTTGATTCATGACCTTGGCAAGCTCCTTTTCTTCTTCGGTGCTCAGGGCCAATGGGACGTTGTGGGAGACACCTTCCCCGTCGGGTGTGCGTTTGATGATAGAATCATCTTCGGGACTGAGTCTTTCAAGAAGAATGAGGATTTCAACAACCCGATCTACAGCACCAAGTTCGGCATTTACTCCCCTGGCTGTGGTCTAGAGAACGTCATGCTGTCTTGTGGACATGATGAATACCTTTATCATATTGTCAAGGATCAGTCGACCATTCCCGATGAGGGGCTTGCTATGATTCGGTACCACTCCCTTTATCCATGGCATCGTGAGAACGCCTATCATGAGTTTATGAATGAGCATGACAGAAAGATGCTTGAAGCTGTACGGGCCTTCAATCCATATGACTTGTACTCCAAGAGCGATGAGGTGCCAAATGTTGAAGAGTTGAAGGTGAGAATCATTTCTAAATAACACCACCTTTCACAGCTGTGTGCTAACGTGATGCTAGCCTTACTATCTCGAACTCATTGACGAGTATTTCCCAACAAAGGTTCTGAGATGGTGATAGCTCCTCTTCATGGATTTCCCTCTAGGTTTGGATTTATGTCTGTATGACATAGATGCAAAGTATCCAGGCCGCTCAAATGGCCAACAGGTTCATCTCAATTTATGCTTTTAATTCACTCGCTTGAGCTTAGGACCAATTCAATTTTTTGGCAGTATGCTATTCGTTTTCGTAGAAATAGAGGCTTAAAATTGACACTTTTCAGCGTTGCTGCCTCTCATATAGCATTTGAAAATCAAGTCAGTCAGGATACAGTGGCGGTGACTGCCCGATGTTCATGCCCTGTTTCAGTAGTTTTCAGAAGCACCCTCGTATGATTGAGAGGGTTACAACAGAGAGATTTGTTTCGGAGATGCCTTTTTCTTGGGCTCTATTTGACAAAAGTCAATACAGATACATCGACTTCTAAGTGGGGATACGTTACTTGCACTCACAATATGGCAATCGGCTATTCAGTAGTAGCTGTTAGCTGAGACGAAGTGGCGAGATCTCTTCATGGAGATTGGACTCACATGTGATCTCTGCTCATCTAAGCTTTTCCATTAGGAAGTTCGGCAGGCGCAGTCGGAAATTATATTCCTGTGCAGCTGCAATGTTGTCATGATGGGAAATGAAATATATTCTATTGGCCTGTATATTCCTATGCATTTCCGCGGCAATTCTCCCCAGCTGTGGGGTCCAATAGGAGATAGCACCGGAATGCGGGGTGCTCATAGTCATGAATCATGATATTGCATTGATTGGTGCTCGGAGACCTAACACCGCCCTGACAGTCCAGTACCTAGATATACAAGCTTCAATTGGTTGACCGTGTCAGCGAAGCTTTTCTGAGCGGAAGAGAAAAGAGACGTTGATAGGAACGTCTGAGACAACCTTGCAACCCTTAAGGTTCTCAGTAAAGGGTTAATCGACTTTCCAAACACCCACATCACGAAGCTGTTTTGGATCTACACGAAAGTCTACGTAGTATTTGTTCTTGGAGTGGAATATATAAAATGGCATAATTATCTTGGCAAAGAAGCATGAACTCCTCTGTGCACCTGATGAATACCATAGGACAGGTCGGTACTGAGTAGTCAGACGTACAATCTAGTTCTTGATGGTTCTTCCATCAAAGTAAATCTTCTCACCGGTAATCAGACTTCGCTGCAATGCTTGCCCGATAGAAACCGCTTTGACGGAGCTTCGCAAGCTTATTGGAGGTGGGGTGTTATCCAGGCAGCAAGCTGTGAACTCATAAGCCTCAGTGATAAATGCTTCCCGGAACCTCTCATAATAATGCTGTGGCAGCTCACGTCTGGCCCCCTGTGAGTCATGAATTTCAACATGATTCTTTCTTACTTGCATATTCACCCTCACAGAACCTTTCTCACAGATGATTTCTGAGGTGTCCTCCTGTCCAGCCGCCATCATACGCGAACAATACAAGGCCGCCATCTTTCCACCCTCAAACTCCACAGTCGCGATTGCATTATCCCGGTCGTTGGTCGCCTCTAGCCCCGGATGAACGGCACAAACACCAACTGCCTGCAAGCTCTTGATGTTGCGATTCTCACCCAGGAACCAAAGCATCAGGTCGATATCGTGAATGGAACAGTCCACGAAAATACCACCACTTGTCTTCGCGTACTCGACGAAGAATCCTGATGAATCATACAGATCTGCTGTTTGAGACCGGAAAAGCACCGGTGATCCAAATTCGCCCTTGTTGACTCTCTCATGAGCTTCGCGGTACGACGCATCGAAACGACGAGAGAAGGCGCACATCACTTTTTGCTGCGGGTATGTTTTAAGAGACTGCTCGTATGCGGAGACCACGGATTGGGCCTATGCCAAGTATCGCAAGTCAACATCCAATCTTCCCAAGGATAAGTGGCAAGTCAACGTACCACTTCAGCATCAATGCTCAATGGCTTCTCGCAGAGAACATGAAGGCCTCTCTTAATCGCTTTCAGAGCTTGCTCTGCATGCACAGCGGTGACGCTCGCAATCACAACAGCTTCCAGATCAGCTTTTTCAAGCATTTCGTCGTAGTCCTGGAAGATTTGCACCCCTTGAAGGTTCTCTGCTGCCCATTGACGCTCATTATAATCGGGAGTACTGGCAGCTACCACGTTTGCACGGGCAGTGAGCTCATGGAAGTTGATGGCATGTCGCTTGCCTGTTTATATTAAGATATACTGTAAATAACACGGGGTGGGAAGGCCTACCCATACGGCCAAGGCCCGCGATACCGACACGAAGTTTTTGGGCGACCATTATTGCGAATGTGGGATATCGAGGAAGAAACAAGATGTTCCAAGAGCTTCAAGAGACATAGAAAAGGTGAGGACGGGGGTCAAGGCTATATACATAACGAAGCCCATTTTTCCTGTGTAGTTCGGGAGTGGGACCTTTAGCTAATGTTTCGGATTTCAATGTCCGATGTCAGTATACAATGCCACGAATAGTCTGGTCATGAGTACCTGACTCCCAATGTCCTGAATTATACCAGTTGAGTGGGGAAATAGATTGGAGGTAAGTAGAAATCAAACGAAACGACAATTTGCAGAGCTACGTACTCCTTACTAAGTACTGGATGTACATCGAGGTCCAAAGTATATGTTCCCAAACCAACCCACTCCGTATCCCTCTCGACCGTATTTGGATTTGGCCATGTCTGTTCAGGGAGCAATTTCGCAGTGCTCTGCATTGATAATGCCATCCTTCTCCACACAAACCTGCAAATCATCACTCTCAGTACGAGCGATCCGCGTTGCGTCTGCCCAACTCATGTCATTTCCTGCATTGTGCTTGATTTCAAAGAGCCGATCAACTTGTTCAAGAGATAATGTCGCAGTCTCAATGTAGAAGTAGTAAATGAGTGGGATGAAGCAAAAGTTGAAAATGGCGTAGAGCATATCATACCGCCACTGGATATTTTGGATGGCGGTAGGGGTGACCACAACAACAACATAGACGAAAAGCCAATTGACAGTGGTGGCAAAGGATGTGCCGATGTTGCGCATTCTCTGAGAATTGATCTCGGCAGGGTATATATAGGGAATCGAGAGCAGCGACATTCCGTAGAAGACGTAGTAGACAAAAATGAAAACCACAGCCATGATCGACATCCCCTTGTTGTCTGGGCCACCATATCGCAAGCCCACAGCAACAAGAGCAAAGCAAACGCTACTGGCAGCGACGCCCATGATCATTAGCCTCTTTCGCCTAACACGGTCGATCAAAAGAGCTGCAATTGAGCCCTAGAACATGAGCGACATGGAGTCCACGGCGGACAAGATCAAAGCCATGCGACTGCTTAGACCCACTGATCGTGTAAGAACCACGGGGAGGTAATATGCAATAACGTTGGTACCTCCCATCTGTTGGAAGAATGCGGTACCAGCTCCCAGAAGCATGCGGCGAAGTGTTTGCTGCTTACTCTTCCAAGTCAGAATTTCTTTCAGGGCAACCGACTCCTGCACCTCAGCCTCATGGTGAACAGCAGCAACTAGATTCCGAATCTCATTGGTAACAAAAGGATCATTATCCGGCTTTGATAACAGCCTAGCGAGAATGTTTTGTGCCTCCCCAACACGATTCTTCATAATAAGCCACCGAGGCGACTCCGGTGTGACATGGACTAGGGCAATGGTGATGATGGCAAAGAAGCACTGGAATGCCAGAGGAAACCGCCAGCTCACATCTGAGTGCGGAATGAAGGTGAAGCCATAGTTCATCCACTACGTCTAGTGAGCAATTTAGGTTTGGTCATTGAGGCTGATGAGTACTTACATTTGTGATCACAATGCCAAAAATATTCGTGACCAGCTGAAAAACGATGAGTTTGCCCCGATCTTTCGGCTGCGCAGTTTCTGCCTGCCAGATAGGTATAGCGATGGTATTCATTCCGTTTCCGATCCCCGCGACCACACGGCCGGCAATCATCTGCGCGAGGGAATATGACGCCGTCTGGAGGATTGCACCGATGATCAAAATCGCGCAGCCGATGAGAATACATCTTCTGCGACCCAGTTTGTCGCCGGCATACATGGACACGAGTGTCCCAGTAATGCAGCCGATATCGTATGTTGCCACGATCTGACCTTGGATCGTAGCCCCCGGAAAGCCGAAGGTCCTCAGGAAGGGTTCATTGTCCAGGAGGCCACCAAAAACACCCTGGTCATAGCCGAAGAGAAGAAACCCAGCACCGCAGGCAGCAGTAATTCCATACTGAAGCACTTTTCCCTGCGCATCCTGTAGGAACATCGTAAAAACGGTTGAATGGATGATGCGGTGGTATCAGTTATGAAAAAAGCGAGATAGCAGGTCCAATCCAAAGTCCATCCAGCCAATGCCGAACTATTCGATTCATATTAGATTTATATTAGCCCGGTGGGATGCAATAATATGAACGCAATCCAATCTGAAGAGTAACTTCCCGGAATCCATTGACCGAAACTCATTTGCTACAACTAAGCCGAGCCGGGTTTATGACCGATTGGATCTGCAGAAACAGGGCGAACCGCCCCAACTCCACAATCTACGACCACCATTGCGGGGTAGTCTGCATACCCCAGATTTTTGAGCCTCGTTTGCATTCCGCTCCTGCCGTTTCCCTCTCGACAGAGTCTGGCACAATAATGAGCTCTATGAAACAGTATGGGAAGCGACAACATGCCACCATGGCATGCATCTCATGTCGGGAGAGGAAAGTGAAGGTATTTCCTGCCACGACTTTTTACTCTTTGCTAAATTAATTCAAAGAATAACAGTGTGATGGTGAAGTACCATCTTGCTCCCGTTGCGCAAGCAAAAGCAAAGAATGTTGTTACCAAGCTTTTGATAAGAGAAAGTGAGATCAGGATACTGACCATGCGATCGCGATGGGCCATCTTGAGACTAAGAGTTGACCATGATGATAGGCTACCTCTTCGTGTCGCAATAGAGCTGCTGACCTGCAGAGTCGATCAACTGTGTCAATTTATCCATGAAAATGGCCTTCAGCCCCCAGAAATGTCTGATGATAAGGGTGCTACCCTGCAAAACATTCTGGACACCCTTGGAATGACAAAGCAAGCCGTCAGCCCAATACCACCTCCGAGTGATGCAACGATGAAGTCTCCAAGAACGGTCAAGGATACCGAGTATTCTTTACCTACTTCTACGATGGCCCCATTTTATGTCTCTTTCGAGGGCTTCGGGGCCAGGGACTTGGGTCAACAACATGCTACCAGTCCGCCCTTAAGTGAGCAAGGTCACTGTTTACCGGATTCGCCGCTGTCGTCAATTCCACAACATAATGACTCTTCAATCATTGCACTTCAAGGAGATCAGTCAGTCTTGACTCTCTTGAGAGAAGACAGCCCGGGAAGTATATTCAATGCGTGGCTTTTTGACCTAGACTTCGGTACACACATTACGCCCTCTGCATCCGTCTTGCAACAACAACAACAATTTACCTTGGGCTACTCGCCCAATGATGAACTTGCTATACCACCAACAGCCCAGGCAGAATCTATTGAAACTGTCTATAGCGAAAGTAGCTCTACCCTTTTCAAGGAACCGGCCAGTGCATCCGACATTGAAGGCCTGGTTGATGAGATCTCCGACCGGGTTGGTACCTTGAAAATCGGCCCTGGAGGGAAGACACGTTTTTATGGCCCGACCTCCACCTTTAATTTGAGGGAGATGCCATCCTCAGACAATTATGAACCCGATCAGGCAAACCTCGCCGATCATTATGGGTCAGAGGAAGAAATCCGTGCGGAGGTAGAAGAACATCTGCTCGACCTTTATTTCACCTGGCAGGACCCCTCATTCCATGTCGTTGATCGACATATCTACGAAGAAGCAAAGGAAAAGTGGAAAAACATGGAAAAGACTCCTTTCTATTCAGAGGCACTGCGGAATGCAATGTGAGTCAGTTCTATTGCCAATGCTCTCTGAAGGACCCACGCTGACAATTGCAACAAGGTGTGCGCTTGGTAGCGCTTTTGAATCTCGATACCATCCGACTGTTATCACGTTTCCAAAGACGCTTGTTGAGTTTTTTGCCGATCGCGCCAAGTCAATACTTGAAACAGAATTAGATTCTCCTTGTGTTGCAACCATTCAAGCAATGGTCATCTTGAGCAGCCACGAAGTTGGAAACGGAAAAGATGCAAGAGGGTGGCTATATAGCGGTAAATCCACATGGGAACCTCGATGATTTCATTCAGAAAAACTTACTTGCAGCCTAAGGATCGGCATTGAGGCTGGCATTCGATCTTGCTTTGCACCTTGACATGGCCAGCTATGTGTCTGCAGGGATGATCTCAGCTGCCGACGCAGACCTTCGCAGGACTGTCTTCTGGACTGCATACATTGTTGACCAGTTCGTCATCTCCTCCCACGACCTTTACTTGAGTACGTAGTTGTCCTGACTATTTGGTAGCCAATTAGGATTCCATTTAGGTAGACCCTTTCGCACCAGCATGGAGGATGTGACGGTTGAAAAGCCCCGTCAAAAAGCAGGTTCCAGAGGGCATTGCGGGTGGACACCTGGCGAGCCGTCGTCTTCTGCCAGCCACGACTCTGGCTTGCTGGACATCAAAGACGCAATCAGCCAACAACTAGTTTCCCTCTGCGAGCTGATGGCCCCATGCGGGTATATCCTGTAAGAATCTCTGTCAATGTCACTTCCGGCCCCGATTGACATTTCCAACAGATACGGTACCTCCAGTATCTCAAAAGAGATTCTTCAAGAGCTCAATGCGAAAATTGTCGCCGAGCTCCAGAAGTGGAAAGCCACCCTTCCGCCTATTTTACAGATTGACCTTGACGACGTCACCTCCCCATACCCTCCGTATGTGTTGCTTCTCCAGTATGTAACCTGTTTTCTTGCCATATCTCTCTTTCCTCCAATCTAACCGGCACCAAAGCATGCAATACCACCAGAACATGATCTACGCCCACAGACCATGGATATCAAAAAGTCAACTACAACCGCAACCACCAAGAGGACCCGGATACACGCACGCCCGCGAAATGTGCATCCAATCCGCCATCGCAGTCTCCAAGATCCTCAATATGTATGAGTCTCGCTACACACTGCGTCGAATCAATGTACAAGCTGTTTCCATCACGTCCTCGGCCATCCTATTCCTCCTATTTGCTGCCGTCTCGAATTACCCCTCCCGCTCCCAGGGCAATATCTCACTGTATCTAACGACATGTTTCAGAGCCTTGGATGAGTTCACTCTCTCCTGGAAAAGCGCCCAGAGAGCAAAGGACCTTCTAGTTGGATTACAGCGTCAATGGGATCTACGGACGCGGTCTAATAAACTGCCACAGCAGGCTGACGGGGTGTTGTATCCTCCGCAGAAACGGTTGAGGACTGCTAGCGGACTTCATCAGATGGCGCCTGTTCTCCTTGATCCGGCTTTGTAGATAGACCTTTATTTGGATGGTATGCTTAGGACAGAGGCGGAAGCTCTTCTGCGAAAGATATCGTCAGGATATCTTTGATTCTACCTATATGCTGATGGTTTGGATCATTACAGCGGCAGGTAAGCAAGTGTATCATTTTTGGACCTTGGAATATGATGAATCATGTACGGAGTATGCTATATACCATATGTTAGTTTTGTTATATACAGGGTATGCTATCTCCATACGTTAGTTTTGTTATATGCAGCCAGTCCACAACTTTTGCTTCTAGCACTAAATCTCTTTTAACCCTGCCCAATGCTTCCTAGTAATCAACCTATAGTCTTAGTAACAGTATCAACTCAGTTATTCCATGGACCTTATATCTCCCAGCTGGATCACAGCCTAGCTAGAGATCTACCCCAAATACACAAAGTAGCAAGACTAACAGAGCTTCCTAGGATGTCATACAAGGTACCAGACGAGCTTATGCAAAGCAATATTGGCCACATGCGTCTTCTTTGGTAATCGTTTGCTGAAGAAAATTCCGCTCAGAACGGCATCTGGATTTCACATGCCTGGCTCTCAAGTGACTCTTGAAACTGCTTGTCCCTTGAGCAGAATCTACTCGACGCGTCGCAAGCTGTCATCCACATCTAAGTCCAGCTTGATGAACCAGAGTCGTTTACCTCTGGAGGTATCGAGGGATGATTTGATTCATTAAGTATGTTGAGCATCGACATAAACAACTAATGCTAAAGCTGAGCCATGGAATAATAATTAAAGGGAATATCGTACGTGCTGGTCGACTTAGACACTCATCCGAATTCGCGTCTCTGTCTCAGTACCCTTTTCTTCAGCCATTAACCATGCCACCAATTCCTCAAGCAGAAATTGGCCTACTAGGAGGGCAAGATCTTATCAGCTGTTCCAAATCTCTCCGCACTGCAGTGAAGCTATACTATGCAATGCTCTCCACACTATAAGACTGCGCCATTGGTTAGTCACGATGTGTTAATACACATCTCTGCATTGATAGATGCATGTCCAGATTCGGAAATTGAACTGGCTCATTCCGCTCTATTCTAGATTACTTTTTCTCTGCTTTCTATGCGTGGGCGAGTTCTACACTATTAATATCACCTTGAATGCCTGTGTATTCTCTGTAACTACTACAACCTCTTGATTTTGGGTGGTGTAGAGTGTTTAAGCGAGAGTATGGTCGCTTTTCTAAGTGATTTAGCCAGTACTCTCTATAATTGTATTGACAAGTTTGATTCCTTAGCCAATTACCACCGCGTGTGGCTAGAAACCCTTCAACCAGATACTGTTTGAATAGCTCCATAGCTACTGGTATAAGCCAATTCAAGCAGAAATGGGTGCTATTAAAACTTAATATCTCTTAACGAACGCTAAGACCACCAGGAAGCCCGCCGAGCAGCAGATCTAGCTAAATCTGGTTCACAAATAGGCCCCCGATCGTATTAAAACGTATACTAGATCAGATTATCAGGGGCTGTGTGCTAACATCACATAACGCAGCACTCCTTGCGCAGGATAACACCAATATACGCGCAGCGGATGAGAAAAAAACACCAGAAACGCCCACGGTCAAATAGACGAATACCCCACGAGGGCAGGCCGATCGGTCGAAGAGGCCTATAGCTAGCAGCTAGCTCAACAGCTGAACCAGCCAGACTTATAATACACAGTGTGGAAGAAAAGAAATATATTCTATAAGAAAAATTAATAGGACTACTATATTAATTAATAAGGTTAATAAGGTAAATATACTTTATCTATAAGCTCTCTCATACTTCTCCTCTAACCTTTTCTATTTAAAATCTTATGAGTCCCCT